TAGCAGTGAGTTCTCGTTTAAGAATATTTACATGTTCGACCTATTGAAAGGTTTTAAATAATTATATAAATCTATTTGAAAAATTACGTTTTCCTTGTATCGCTGAAGATGATAAACATGGTAACATAAAGTAAAGCAAGTGCAACGTCTACTACATGTCGAATGCAAAAGAATTGTTTCTATTTAATTTAAGAATGTATAATAATGATTTCAAACTTAAGTTTTGCATACTTTCATTACGATAATGCACACACTATTACGTTTTCATTTGCCTTTACAAATTTTCTTCAACAGTAGGTGTATAAATTTATTTATTAAATGCCAGAAAATAGAAATTCACAAATAAATCTGATATATGTATTATGAATGCTCTTATACTTGTTTAAAAATATTTAAGTATTATTATATAATATGCACAAGTATGATTGCACTTACTCAAAATAGTGTTGCACTTAAGTGATTTATCAGAAATTCATTATTAGAGATTACCAAATAACTAAATTCTTTTCTCATATTACTACCATGAATGTTTTCCTAAAAAAAAAATAAGTGTGAATGATATCAATTTTGTTACATGTTTCGCATAGCTCGTGCAATTTATGATAAAATTAACTACGTTGGAAGAGTAGTTTTGACAATTTTGTTATAAATTAGCTTGGGGTGAATGCTCCAAGGAAGTTTATTTTAGTAAATAATTGAGTGATATTGACATTTTAAATAAGAAGTTACTATAATGATGAGTCTGAATTTTTCTTAAAAGAACTAATATTACCATTAACAAATATTTATTGCAGATATTACGAATAAACACCAAGTACAATGTACTTTGGGTATATGCTCAAAATATACCAGGAGAGATAAACAGCATGTTGTATTTGTACGATACGGTCCTTCCTCTAAAACAGAACACTTCGCCAAATTTTCCTACCTATTTACCGAACAATGACGAAGATACACTTCCTGAGAACCTTTATGCAGATGATGTTCACCCATTCAATGATCCCACAATTGTATTTAAACCTGAATCATAATTGTATCAACGTAGTTAATAAAAGAACAATTTTGTAATAACACTACCGTATGTCGTGCAGTTATTAAGTCCCCTTTAAGCTGCAATCCATCACGTGACGAAATGTCCAAGTAAAGATCGGCAGTAAATATTGCCGAATTTGCATAATAATTTTATTGTTCATTTTGTTTTTCTTACAGAAATAATAATCCATAGTCATGAATTAGACTAATAAAGAGTAGTCAATCGATTCATTTATTCAGTAATCAATATTATTATAAATTTAACATGCCTAAAATATACACGAATTGTTTTATAAATGTAACATCGCTAACCAAGACTCATCTCGAGTTAGAATGGACAGCAGCATGATCAAGCAATAAAAAGGTCTTTGACTTTTTTCAGTTGCCCTCCTCTTTAGAGAGCAAGTTAATTAGTTCACTAAAATAATTTAGTCGGTACGTTGCGTACATCTAGCTGCGTCCGGCTAAGTTCTGCTCCGTCAATAATTTTTAGTATTTATGATTTAAGAAAAAAAAAGAAGGGAAAAAAGGTAACATATACGGTCTTCGAAGAATCATCAGAAGGAAAAATAAAGAATACAGACTCCCTCTTGTTTCAGTAAGAAACACATCCCCACTGTAACTTTTGCTCCTGTTTCGTTTTGATATCCCCTTTACCAGTCAAATAATCACTGTCATACCTTTGGATTAGTGAAAAGAAACATGATTCTTGGTTCAGCGGTGGCATATTGATAACGCCACGTGTTGTTATTGGAGCAAGAATAAGACATAAGAATAGGAAAGGGTAAGCAGAATGGCTCCGTAGTGGAGTTTGTCGGGGGACGGCACGATCGGATGAGAAATAATGGAGGCCTTCTCAGAATTTAAAACCTTCACTCGGAATAGTCGACGTTTGATCAAATTCAAATGTACCTTCTCCGACCTGCGGTCCCAAATTCGCTTCATCTGTCTAAAATGTCATTTAATGTAAGTTATTTTTTATCGGAATGATTACAAGATCATAGCCGATTTCAAAAAATTAAACTAAATACTATACCTCTTCAGAAAAGTATTGCTCGATGATATCAAATGCTAATTTATAAATTTCTACATTATCGTGATTCTGAAGAGCTTCGATTTTATCCAAACCTATAAGATCATATTGAACGACGTGTATCAGTAGTTTACGATAATACAAGAAAATAATCTAAATATTAAAAATACTAACCTGAACATTCCTCGATCATGTTAGCCAAGTGCTCAACTTCAGGTCCAGCAAATTTGAGCATATTATGTATACCGTCTAAAACAACATGTACAACTTGAGTATCTTTACAAGAAAGGAGGTCACAGAAAGGTTCGATGACGCCTTCTCGTATAAGCTGTACAACTTGATCTCTGTTACCACTGATCGTCAAATTACTAATTGCCCACGCAGCTTCTTTTTTCGTTTGGAAATCACCCTTTATTATAAAAAATATATTATTAAAGTACGAATAATATTATAATTTCACGAAGGATGTTTTTTACCTTTGCTAAATTACGAATGATAAGTGGCAATAATCCAGCATCCATAACAGCCTGAACTTGTGACTGATTACCTGCTGTCACGTTAGAAAGGAACCAGACTGCTTCTTTACAGATTTTTTCTTTTGGATGATTCAGTAAATTGGGGAAGTGCGCAAGCGCGTCACAATTTAATACAGTCTGTGTTTGTTCGTCTGTACCAGTTACTATGTTGCCAACTGCCCTCAAAGCAGCCGTTTGTACCTTAACTTCTTTGTGCGAGAGAAGAGGTATAAGACGTGGCACGACACCACTATCTATAACCATTTGAATTTGATCATTACCACCATCAGTGAGGTAACTCAATGCCCAAACTGTATCGACAAGAATCTGTAATAAACAATGGATGAAATGAAATATCTGAAAAATAAATTCCCGCAAGTATATTAACTGTTATGTTCTCACTCACGTTAATATCTGTATGATGTATGAGTACATTAAGTGCAGGCAAAATGTCCTTAATTGTTTCAACAGGTGGTGGTGGCTCTTTGTTCCTACATAAATTCACGATTACCCATGTTACATTACGTAAAAAACTAATAGGTATATCTGGTTTAATAAATGTTAACAATGGTTTTACAACGCCAAGAGTAATAACATAATCCCTAGACGTTGGACCATCTCCAATAATGTTTCCTGCAAAGAAGAATACTTTTAATGTATATATAATGCACAGCTTAGACCATCTTTAACTACAACCGGTTGTAAAAACTTCTCATTAAATTACTTGTACAGAAAAAAATAATTTGTGATGTATAGTTAGTTCCAAGAACTGTTGTGTAGACCCTTTTGCACATATTAAAGTTATAATGTAAATTCCTATATAAAAATTATTTTAAAAAACTCACAAATCGTTATGTAATATTAAATCTCATTATTTTTGAACGAAAACAGGGAAATGTCTATTTTAATAGATTAATTTACAAGTGCATACATGTATAGTGACAATGTGTATTCCGCCACTGTAATCATTTTATTCGCAAGTATTTGCGATGCCACATATACACACAGTGCGATGGCCTATTGGCTAATGTTTATATATATTACACACTACCACGATTATTTCTTTTATGAGTGTTAATTCCACATTCTGTGAGCTAAATAGAAACAAGACTATTATTACGGCTTCAAATATTTCCATAATTAAAAGGTCAAAACTAGCTCTTACAGATGAATGAAATTCACACATTTGTGACTAGTGACGTCAAACGATGACACAAGACGTGAAGCCGATTTCTTAAATTAAAGACTTTCTATCATCAATGAAAATTATAATTGTCGAAAATTTTGAAAAATAGCAAACTATAATTATCGAGAATTTTCTTTTATGGAGAAAATTTTAATTATGGCTTCAGTTAAGTGTCCAAGAATGAACAAGAAATATTTACTGACACTTCCAATCAAACTCTTTTATAAATAAATAGATTTAATTTCCTATATCGATTTGTGAGAATTTTTAAAAAATTACTCTACTAAAGTAATGACTCTGAAATCGTAATTTCAAATATTTCTGGTACAGAATATTAGAATTTATATTCTTTTGACATGAGTTTAATCATTTAAAAATACAATCATCATTTTGCCAGGAATAGGAAAACTAAAGTTGTATAGTTTAATTATAATTTTACAGAATTGTTCTTTTTCTAATTGTACTGCGATTTTAAGTTCATCTTATACTTCTCATCTACATTTTTTAACATACCTAGAGCCCACACAGCTTGTTCACAAACGTTTTGCTGACTTGACAGTAACAAAGTCAGAAAGTGTGGAACTGCACCAGCTTTTACAACTTCTTGTGTTTGAGGTGACGTTCCACTTGCAATATTTGTTAGAGCCCATGCTGCTTCAAATTGCAAAGATGGTCTATAAAATAAATTACACAGTATGTTCAGAATTGTGTGCCATAAAAATTGTACATAAATTTAAATATTTTCATACCTAGTGTGCTGCTGAAGACAATGAACTAAGATTGGTAAAATGCCACTATCAATTAATGGATCAATTGGTGGATTACGATCTGAAGATAATAACCTTCTTGCAAATTGTACAGCTTCTAACTGAACAGTTGGATCTGAACTGTTAGCTTTCTTAACTAGTTCTTCCAATTCAACTCTTGTGAAATTATCTTCATCTAAAAAAATATCGTTTATTAAGTTTTGTTTTATTAGTACACACTAACTAATACATTATTTTCTGTACACATAATTTATATATACTTGCCTACAAGATCTGAAATAGGCACATTTCTTCGTTTTTGTATAGTCTCATCACGTTTATTTTTACGTAATTCCACTGTCACTTCATTTCTTCTTCTTCTCATTTCCTGCAAAATAGAATAAATTAATCACTTAAACGTATTTAAATAACCAATTTTATTTTAAAAGAAATCAAAAATCATACTTGAAACAAATTAAAATGATCGTAATTTTCTACTGCAACAATATTATATATATA